GGAAAAACCTGCTCATTCGATTTTATTTTAGTTCCTTTTTTCAAGTAATGCAAGTGGAAGTCTGAATTAAAAAAAAAAAGAAAAAAAAAAAGAAAAAAAAAAAGAAGTTGTTCGAACACCGAAGTTCGGTGGCAAAGCTGAATCTGGGACTTGAATCTGGGTCAGATACATTCATCTCTCCAGAATCTGGGTGTGTTTTGTGCAGAGATGCAGAGAAGCAGATTAACTGCGATTGTCTGCACCTCTCCACAATCGCGTCCAAATTCAGGGGTCAGATACATTCATCTCCAGAAAAGAAATAGAGCTCATTTAAATTTTAGGTTCATCTCCAGAGAAATAGAGAATTAATTAATTTTAGGTTAGTTTTTTGAACGCTGAAGGCATCGACCAAGGAACACGAAACGAATCAGTGATCTTTCGCGTTCAGTTTTTTCTTTTTCTCTTTGTCCCAAAGCCTCGAGGAAAGAAAAAGGAGCAGAAATGTATCGTCTGAATTCGATAGTGACCCCTACGGTCAGATACATCCCCGAAAGGAAGGAAAGGAACATATTTTTTTCGCGTGAATTTGCCCGTGACTAGGCTCAAATACATCCCCGAAATTCCCCAACGTCTGAAAGGCACGAAGGAAGGAAGTGATGATGCCACGTAGATTGATTGTGGAGGTGAGGATTTGAAATCTGATTTAGAGATTTGTTTTGAAATTTGAAATCGATTTTGAAGATTTTGAAATCTTAAGTTGAGATTTGAAGTTAAGAAAAGAAAAAGAAAAAAAAAAAGAATTGAAATTTGAAGTTGGTTCCGAAAGTTGATTTTGAAATTCGAAAAAAGTTGGTTATGAAATTTGAACGTTGATTTTGAACGTTGATGCTGAAAGTCGATGTTCAAATTGATTTTTTATTGTTGGTTATTTATAATTTATTTATGTTTTAAAATTGAAATTGATTTTGAACTTCGTGAAGTTTTGATTTTGAAGTTTTGAGTTTGAAGTATGGAGCTTGATTTTGTAAGTTTTGATTTCGAAATTTTGATGATTTTGAAGAATTTGTTAGGAAGATTCTTCCAAGAAGGTTTGAAGAAGTTTCGAAGAAGTTTCGAAGAAGTTTTAGAGAAGTTTTGAAGAAGTTTTGAGGGAGTCTTGAGGAAGTTTTGATGATTCTGAAGAAGTCAGTTTCGATGATTTTGAAGTCTGAAGATGATTTTGAAGTTTTGATTGCGACCGCGGCTTAGGTGAGTTTACTTTTGATTGCGAACTTTTGATGATTTTTGGAAGAAATAATTTGTTTTTTTTATGATTTTGAAGAAGATGATTGTTTTTGTTTTTTTTTTGGGTTCAATTTTATTATTTTGACCATTTTATTTGGGCTCCTCCTGGCCATGCTCAGCAAACCCCCTGCCCCCCCCAAAAAAAAAGATTAAAAAAAAGAAAAAAGGGCTGATTTTTGCCTGCACGGGGTTGCCCCGTGCAGGTGACCCCCGGGCCACTTGCCCGGGTGGGACGGCCGTGCGAGCCAAGTGGCCTAGGTTTTGATGATTTTGAAGGGGAAAAAAATGCTTTTTTTTTTTTTATCATTTTGAAATTGAAATAATGTGCTGTGGTGTCGTTGGCTATGCAGGTTTCTACTCCGAACATCGACCGGCTTATTAACGAAGGCACGGCCGCAGAGAGCGGCATCACTTCAGTCTACCCAACGGTCACATTTCCAAATCACTGTATCCTTTCCAAAAACCATGATTTTTTTTACTAATTACTAACTTTTTTTAGTAAAATATATTCACACATTTTCTTTTGGGTTTGAAAATAATATTCTGTTGGTTTCAAAAATACAAAACAGAACAAGTCCCAACTGAAGAAGAAGAAGGTAAGCAATGGTGAAATTGCTCTCTTCACACACACGCAAACAGAATAGCTTCGTTCCATACATGCGTGTACACTGCTCATATCGCGCACGCTTTCCACTGGCTACCAACTGAGGGCCTAGTAGCTCATTTGGTGCACCCAGGAACTGTTGAAATACAGTCCTGTCCGGGGGCAAGGCCCCACTTGCACGGATTAAGAGATTCTGGCCGTTGATCTTTGCTATCTACGGTCAGTATCTCTTAATTCGTGCAAGTGGGACCTAGCCCCGGGTCGAATTGTGAGGTCCCCGGCCTCAAAACCATTGAATTTTAATACAAATTGTTACTTTTTCCAAAAAAAAAAAAAAAAAAAAAAAAAAAAAGACAGTCCTCAGTTCGGACTCCTCTGGAAACGAATGAGTAACAAAATACTATAAACCCGAATTCCGTAGGGCCGGTCAGTTCGATGATCATATCTCAAGGCCGTCACACCTTTTTTTTTGTTTTTTTCCTTCACAAAATTTGGACCATTTCTCGATTTGTGTGCATGTCATCCTTGAAAGCACGCAGGGGTCATTTGCTAATTACCCTTCTCTGTATCGTTCCAGTTGTAACAGATGTCCAGGAGGACAGCCATCATCTTTTTTTTTAAATTATTATTATTATTATCATTTTTAAATAATTTAGACCATTTTTCGATGTATGCGTGTCATCCTTACTTGTGCAGGGGCCATTTTGCTAATCTTCTCTTTCTCTGTATCATCCCAGTTTTCAGGGATGTCCCGAAGGACAGCAGCCATCACCCGTTTTTAAAAAAGAAAAAACAAAACAGAAGTAGCGTCGTCTGATCTTTGGCAGGCAACAAGGAGGACTCCCTGCCTCCTTGCACCACCCCACTCACCAAATGTGAAATAAAAGACGGAGAAAAAAGAAAGGCCAGTGAGTGTATCTGCCCACCTTCTAGCTGAAGATACACTCTGAATATTTGTTTAACACATTCGGTGAGTAGTGCAGCGAGGCGCACATAGACAGTTGCGAGCAACTGGAAAGAAAGGTGGTGTTACTCAGAAGAATGGCCCCTGGCGCACCGAAGGGGTTTGAAATTTGACTGAAGTCAAGGAGTATCTTTGAGCTTAAATGGGGAAAGATGCACTCACCAACCTTTTTGTCTTTGGAGCGAGATCCAACATCGATCATCATCATCATCATCATCATCATCATCATCATCATCATCATCAGCAGCAGCAGCAGCATAATGAAGGGCAAGGATAAATGAAACAGCAGCAAAATGTTTTGTGGCCACAACTACGAAACCCTAAACCATAAAGTAGAAAAGGGTATATAGACTACTCGTCTGTCCCTCTGCCATTCTGCCAATCTGTCTGTGCCTCTCTGTCTTTCCCTTAGGTCTCCCTCTCTGCCCCTCTTCCTCTCTGCCTGCCAGTCTGTCAGTATGTCAGTCCCATAAGTTGTCTGTCTGTTAGTCTGTCAGTCTTTCTTTGCCTCTGCTCTCCCTCTCTCCCTCTCTGCCTGTCTTCCTCTCTGCCCATCTGCCAGTCTTCCAGTCTTCCAGTCTGCCAGTCCTATATGTTGTTTGTCAATCTGTAAGTCTGTCAGTCTGCAAGTCCCATATGTTGTCTGTCAGTCAGTCTGTCTGTCAGTCCCATATGTTGTCTGTCTGTCTGCCTGTTCGCTTATTTGTCTATCTGTCTGTATTTGCGCCTGCCTATCTGTCATGTATGTCTGCCTGCGGCGGCATGCATGGGCCTCACGCACTGGCCCCAACTTGGACTCCGGGCCCCTACCTGGTAGGGCTGCACGACCCCCATTTTGGGTGGCATTAGGGCCGCGGTTCATTTTCTGGGCCAACTGGTAAGGTTCCTTGCTGTCAGACAGGATGAGCTATTTTTATCCGTTCTGTTCGCAGCCCGTCAGGGGTGCGTTTTATGCCCTGGGAACATTGCGTTTTTTATGCCCTGGGAACATTGCGTTTTTTATGCCCTGGGAACATTTTTCGTCGTCGTCACCAAACGGTGCGGTAGTTGGAAGGGTGGTGTATTTGCTGGGGGTCCAATTCGTGCAGGACCGGTAGCTGCCCGTGGCATTAGGGCCTTGAAATTTCGAATCTGAAACGGCGTGGACGCAGGCCCTGTGGTGAGTTAGGGCGGGTTTTTAGGGGGGGGCGCCGACTGGAAGGCGCAGGCGGGTCCCATCTTGCAATTTTCGAGCGCCAACTCTGGCGATTTTTCGTACGCAGAATAATTGGAGAAAAGATCTGAAAATTTGATATCGGGTAGGCCAGGTCGTGATCTTTCCAGGAAAAATATCAACAAAATAAAATAAAATCGTTTAGACCATGAAATAAATGCCGCGCCAATTCGTCACTTTTTCCAATTTTGGCACACGACGACTTGTGGGCCAACGGGAAAAGTTTCCCTATTTCAAAGATTTTTCACGCTCAGAAGAACTCGTAAACAAGTCTGAAAATTTGAGGGTCCGTAGATTTGGTCATGATCTTTTCAGGAAAAATGTTTTAAAAAATAAAAAAAAATTGTCTTAACTGCGAAATAGCTTATAGCGCAAATTCATCCCATTTTCCATATTCACCACTCGGCCGGTTCTCCACTCTGTGCTACTGGTAGCCCTCATGGACCTGTGCTACAGGTCCCCCGAATTTCCAACGTCGGGTAGAGTGGTGGTTTGAATTCGAAGCCTGTCGTGGTCGAAATCGAAACAGGCCAAAAGCAGCGGCGGCCGCTCCCGTTCCCTCTGCGTTCACAAAGTGATAGTCTCCCTGTGTGCGCGGAGAGCGTGGTGCCTTATCGATCGAGGCGTTTTGACAAAGTGGCGCCGCGCCTGATTTCTCTCTCTCTCTCTCTCTCGCTCTCTCTCTCTCTCTCTCTCTCTCTCTCTCTCTCTCTCTCTCACTCACACACACACNCACACACACACACACACACACAAACACACACACACACACACACACACACACACACACACACGTCCACAACAACATCAACAAACAAACTACGGGCTGCGCACCCGTGCCCTCACGGTAAGTCAATCAGTTTTCTGAGCTTGGTTTGGTGTCTCAGCTTCTGCCTGTTCTGGATGGCGTAGTCCTGGATTTGGGTTTTTCGAGGCCTAGGAGACTTTTCCCCTCGGCTAGCTCAGTAGGTTTCATGCCTGAGCGGCACTGCGTAGGTGCTGCTGGGTTCTAATCCTATTGCCTTCAATACTCAAGACCCAATAAAGGAAGTCTCAGGTTGTTGAATTCTCAGTCAGAATCATCATAGGGCCCAATAAAGATATTAATGGCTTGATTACGATGTGTATCAGGGTTGAGACCCTCAATTTGGGCCCCTCAATTTGACGATGTTCAACATACCCGTCACAAGACCCATAACAGAAGCTTGATAACCAATAATCATGACGTATAATCTACAGTAGCTTCCGTACTAATCTCGAATTAGCTGGGGCTGGTCACCTGTGGATATATCTCAAGACTGCCGCTTAAAAAAAAAAAAAAAAAAAAAAAAAAAAAAAAAAAAAAAAAAAAAAAAAAAAAAAACCGAGGCCTAGGAGACTTTTGCCCCCATTGAGCTGGACCTTTAGCTGGACCTTTTGGTCGTTAGGTAGTGCCTGGTCCAGCCCTATTCTTTCTCGGAAGGGCGTGGAGGCACCTGCTGCATCAGCAGGCAGGACTGGACGTCGAGTTGCTGCCCATTTTGGGCGTACGCTGGTAGACCACGACTTGGGCCAGAGGAGCAGTCATTGATCCAGGACCATGGATCGATGGTCAGATCGGACGAACAACCCTCGATGCAGACCGGTAGGCCATGCAGAGCTGAAGCACCCGGTCTGACGCCAGGCCGCTGGAGAGCAGCGCTGGATAAACGCTGCAGAGTTACCTCCTGATCATTACCGCTCTATCTGGTAGAGCCCAGTGCTGGGAGCCAGAGCCATGCAGAGTTGAAGCACCCAGTCTGACGCCCGGCTGCTGAAGAGCAGTGTTGGATTAACGCTGCAGAATTAGCGCTGTGATCGTCATCCGAGTAAAACACCCAGTCGTTATCGCTGCATCTAGACTGAAAGCTGCCCTGCATACAGCTATAATGACCAGGCACTCTGTTCGGGTGAAGACGGTAGCATTAGCGGAGATTGGAGGAGAGATTGGTGAGAGTGGATGTCCGCAGCGGCATTGGGCACAGGGGCACTCATCTGAGCCTCTTTCACCGGTCAGGGGAGATAGATAGATAGATAGATAGATAGATAGATAGATAGATAGATAGACACACACACACACACACACAGACAGAGAGAGAGAGAGAGAGAGAGAGAGAGAGAGAGAGAGAGAGATGATCTTCTTCTTCTTCTTCTTCTTCTTCTTCTTCTTCTTCTTCTTCTTCCTCTTCTAATCCTCCTCCCCTCCATATTGGTTTCCTCCTTCCCGAATTCCGAGAGAGAGGAGAGATCAGTGACGTCACAACTATTTTGGGAAGACTTCTCCCGGGTTCAGACTTGGCATTGTATAAGAGACGACTGAGAGTTGGGAAAGACAGACAGTTCAAAATTTCAGTTGCTGCATCCAGGCTCTCTCTCTTGCTCTTCTTCTCGACCCTTCCTCTTCTTCTTCCCTCATCATCTATGGTCACTTCACCATGCATGTGTACGTCCAAGGAAGGTATGCTACCCTCCTCGCCTCTCCGTGTGATGATGACGGGTGCCTTGTCTGAGTTTTGATCTGCATCAGTTAGATTGATTGGTTTCACCCCACCGCTGCATTTCATCCGTGTTTCGCTTCTCTTTGGTGACTTCTTGGATGTGCGCCATGCCTATCTGTTGATAGTGATGCAGCGCTGTCTGTCTGACAGGCTGTCTCTGGGCCTGCCTGTCTGACAGGCTGCATGCCTATCTGACTGTCTGCCTGCCTGTCTCTGTCTCTGTGCCTGTGCCTGTCAGTCTGTCAGTCTGTCTCTGGGCCTGCCTGTCCCTCACGTCTATCCCTCTCTATCTGCTGTCTGTCTATCTAGCTGTCTGCCTGTGTCTCTGTCTGCTGTCTGTGTCCACCGGTGTCTGCCTGCCTGTCTCTGTGCCTGTGCCTGGCAGTCTGTCAGTCTGTCTCTGCCCCTGCCTGTCCCTCATGTCTGTCTGTCTACCTGTCGGCCTGTGTCTCTGTATGCTGTCTGTGTCCACCAGTGTCTGCCTGCCTGCCTCTGTCCCTGTGCCTGTCGGTCTCTACCTGGCCCTGCCTGCCCCTCGCTCCCGCTGTTGCTCTCTGTCTGTCTCCTCTGTCTGCCTGTGTCTCCTCTGTCTGCTGTCTTTGTCCACCAAATGAAAAACGAAATCAAGTTGAACTGAGTGCAACCAAACAAAACCGAATGCAAACTATCGGACCCGAACAGCACCCGGTTCAATCCGTCAGACCTGAACATTGAAAGCTGTCCCATTTTTCTTGTTTACTTTGGAAGTGTGACCGTTCGGTCAAAGGTTTGACCAAATGGGCGCAAGAAGTTTCGTAAACTTTTGTCACCAAAATGTGCAATGTCACGAGTTTCGTCCCCCCCGGATTCGATTTTGGGTCCTTTAGTTCCCTTTGAGAACGGACCAGCGGGACCAGCGGGAACAGCCACGTTGCAGGGAAACGGAAATTCGAAATGTGTTCATCTGTTCAGCAGATCTGTTGTTCCACTTTTGTCTCGATCGCTGGCTTTTCTTTTTTTTTGGTGGTGGAAAATTGGAAATGTCGTTTACTCATTTGAATTTGCATTGTACAGAAGTGGAGGTGTGTGTGTGTGTGTGTGTGTGTGTGTGTGTGTGTGTGTGTGTGTGAATTTGCGAATCAAGAGGAATTAATAATTATATAGTGGAGCTGTTTTGCACACAGAAATGATGATCGCCTTTTTTTTTTTTTTTTTTTTTTTTTTTTTTTTGATCGATGGTATTTCAGTTTGCCCAACTTGTCCCTTTTTTGCTGAAAGGATTGGGACGGAGTATTTCAGTTGTCACTACCGTCTTCTTCCGAAATAGAATGAGCCGTGTCATCATCGCTGTATAAAGACTGAAAGTTGCTCCAAGTACAAGCTTTAATGACAGGGTGGTGTTCTATTCGGGCGAACCCGGTCGAGCTCTTCCCTTTTACGCCCCCTCCAGTTGACTTTCCTGAACAGGCAATAATTTCCTAAAAAATCACAGATTCTATTGTGACTGGACTTTATCCGGAATCCCATGGCATCGTTAACATGCACTTCACTGACCCTGCAACTGGCGAGAAGTTTCACCCGGGAGTCCTCGATCCCAAGTGGTGGATAGGTGACTATTCTCTCACCACCCTGACTATTCTCTCACCACCCTGACTATTCGCTATTCTCTCACCACCCTGACTATTCGCTATTCTCTCACCACCCTGACTATTCTCGCTACCCTGACGATTATACCCACCCTGACTATTCTCACCACCCCAACTATTCTCTATTCTCTCACCACCCTGACTATTCTCGCTACCCTGACTCTTCTCTCACCACCCTGACTATTCTCACCATCCTGACTATTCTCACCACCCTGACTATTCTCTATTCTCTCACCACCCTGACTATTCTCGCTACCCTGATGATTATACCCACCCTGACTATTCTCACCTCTCGATCTCTCATCCCTCAATCCCTTTGTCTACTTGCTTCCCTTCTGTCCGTGGCTCCCCACACCTCCTCTCTCTCCTCTCCTCCATTTTTCTCTCTTGCGAGGTCAGGTCGTTCAGAATGTCCTCCCTGTCCTCTCTCTCACTGTCTATCCTCTCTGCTTGTGCCCCCTGTCTGTGCCCCTCACTCCTCCTCGGTCTGGGTCCCCCTCCTCTTCCCCTCTTGTTGTTGTTGGTTGTTGTTGGTCCCCCCCACCCCCCTTCTTCTTGTGTGTTGACCTTTCTCTTTGCCGGTTTCCCGTTGCTCTTCACTTCCCCCTCTGACAAGCTCTCTCCGAACCCCTCTCCCGGCCATTCCCCGCTTTCTATCCATTCTACCTCCCAAACTCTCTTGCTCTCCTCTTCCCTCTCCTCTTTTCCTTCTCCATTGTCTCCACTCGTGCCCCTTCGGAAAAAAAAGTATCCCCGAATGCCATTTTCAGGTCTGGTGGGGTTAACTTGGGGCTGAAAAGTGGGGGTACCTCTGAACTTGGGGCTGAAAAGTGGGAAGGGAAGGGGCGGGAAGGGAAGGGG